AATGGTAATGACTACGGTATTTATTCGCATGTTTCTTCCCCTCATGTACTCTTCACCCTTGTGTTTAAGCATATGATTTAGGAACTTCTGATTTATTGTAATTATGTAAAATGTATACTCAAATACTTTGTTTTAGTAAAAAGAGTATTATTGGAAATGATTAGTCTTTTGATATCCAATTGTATAATAACATCAGTATATGTGTGCTTTTTAATCTGCTCTTTTTGTCATTTATGCCGCCTTTTCAGAAAGAGTAGTCACAGCGTATTTTTCTTTTACCTGTTTTCAGCTGTTAAAATTAGTAGGAAAAGGGATAAACATGGAAGAAACAAATTACAAATATTTACAAATATTACTATTACAAAAACATTTTGTTACAGTTATATTCTACTATGGAAAGATTTATTAATGGTTTGGTATATTACTATGAAAAGATTTATATTATCCTTACATAGTAAGTGAAGTGTCCCAGGGCCAAATTTACGTGTGAGCTACACAAGTTATAGCTTAGGGCCCTCGCTTTCTTGGGGGACTCCAAAAAATTAAAATATAGTATAAATAATATTAAAATATATTATGACAATATAAAGGGCCCCATATCTCAAATAGCTTAGGGCTTTATCAAGTCTAAATCTGACTCTGTCCCAAATAACACAACTATATTTATCAAATATTCATCATTATTATTTTATCATATATTCCCATGAAGCAAGTGGGGAATAAAAAAGCTTCTAGCGTAATTTTAAAACATTTCATGTAAAAATTTTGACTCAATTTCGTAGCACTAAATGATTTCTAATTTTATCTTGATTATTACTTATTTATTGAGATACTATACCAATTGACGGCAGCATTTGTGTGAAATATTCGTAGTTTGTAATTTGAAGGTCATTCATTAAACAATTTTGATTGTGGGAGTAAAAATGAATAGAATATGATGTTTTGTTTGATGTTTGTTAAAAGTTTGATTACGCAGATTTCTTTCTTAAGCTTAAATCTGAAATTAATTCGATGCGAAATACGATTGACTCATAAGTAAGGACATCTGAATAAATTACATCAAAATGACAAGTAGATTTAAGACTTTTCAGAGTTTGTTATAACTTTCAATAATCTTTTAAAATACAATATATTATATGATTATAGAAAATGTCAAAATATATCTGTTTTAAGACAAATTAGCGTCTTAAAATAGTATCAGGCAAGTTACATACTTCTCAGGAATAAAAGTACTTAATTAAGTCTAAAATCATCGAATTGTGGAAAACGGCAAGAAAACGTTCACTAGCCAAAAATAAAATGTTACCCACCCCCAAAACATCACATCAAAACTTTTCTGAGGTATCGAATAATATCAGTGCTGGAGATCTTCCATATTTAACTTCTTTTCATCATTCTGAATCATTTTCCTATTTTGAATCCTTATTATGTGACATATTTGGTTTAATCCAATTATTTTTAATAAGACGCTTTGTAAAGCTATTAGATACATATTTAACGAAGTAAAAAGACAAAAAGAAGAATATGTTACAAGAAGGCAGTTCACAAATGTCTGAGTCATTTCCAAAAAGTCTGTTATAAGAAATTCATAAAATGATTGTTTATCATTTGATAAACAACCATCAAAGATTTGTTCATTATTTTCGAAACTTTAAAACAAATAATTTTGATTAGGTTCTAAATCCATTTGTGATAAACGACACATCGGTGTACGAATTAGTTCCATTGTGCAATAACCGAGATTTAATTTCAAAACGTTTAAATCAATTAATTCGTTTTGGATTAATCTTGGGATTACCCCTTAATATCATAAAATGTTTTAAGTGTGCTTGTACAGTTTTCCACATCTACTTTACAATGAAATTTTATTTCATATTTCATTGAAAACTACTATTACATGTTATTTTTACAAAATATATTGTAAGTACATAAATAAATAAACCAAATCAAATTCCTTAAACTATATCTTATTGTTAATGTGTCGCCAAATCGTTTTAATAATTTAATGTGTATCCGGATGGAAAAAAGGTTGAAAATCACTACTCTAGGTTAAACAAAATTCGATTCATGTAAATACTGATTTCAAATTAAAGAAAAACTTTTAACTGAATATAAGTTCCGAACTAAGATATTCTGAATTTCATTATATGGAAATAAATTTTGAGTGTTAGTCATATTTTAAGGATTAATAATTCTAGCTTTTACTACTAATCGGTACTTTGCGACTAATTAGTACCTTTCTTCGGAGTTTGACCAAATCTGAAAACACTGCGTCATTTTAATGATTAAAACTAATTCGCTACTTCTGATTACTTAAAGAAAGACTCAATCCGATTGCTCCGCATCGCACTCCACATGGATTTATTAATTCTGCCTGAACAGATTAATTTTTCGTACTTTTGTAGCAAATGTCTTCACAAAAGCGGGATTATTTTCTGCAGCTCAGATTTCAGTTATGACCAAGAGAAGAAAACTGTTCTTTCAATTTAAAATGCGATATAAAAGGCAAAATCCCCTTGGAGAAATCCAACTTACCTCTAAAAAAAATAAATAAAAAAATAAAAAAATAAAAATAAATTTTTTTTTTTCTACGTCTCTTCTTTATTTATTGAGAACTGAAAGAACTGAGAACCATAAAAAGCCGTTGAAAAACTTTTAATTACCTTTAAGATCTTAAAATGTGTTTAGCGCTTTACTTCCTGAAGAAAATACAAAATTTCGATTACTCGAGGTGCGGTAATTCGAAGTGAATGTATTTGCTCCAAGAAATGTATAAAAACCATTAGCTTCTTTTGATAAATCAAACTTAACTTAATTTACTGAAATATTCGATAAACGAAATTCTTTTCAAAGAAACCTGATTGAAGAATTCATCAAAAAATTCCTGGAATAGTTAGTTCTGTTGTGGAATATTTGAAATTTATATGGGCGCTGAAAGGGACTTAACTGTTATGACAATCCTTCTTGCTTGCTCAAAAGGTCTTTTGACGGCAGCGAGGAAGGCTCCCGATAGAATTTGAATGTCGCAAACATATTATTTTGACACGTAAAATTGTGTGTGCAAATGTTTTCATTTCAGAATTTAATATTGTACATAACTTCACCCAATAAAGAATAAAAGAATTATGAAGACTCAATTTTTTGACCCCCGAAATGACTAATTCATCACCTGTTGACAAAAAAGCAAATTACCTGAACATCATTTTAGAAGTAATCAATGTAATAATGCACATGTGCCATTATTTCTGCCACTTCTGGAATACAACCTGTAAGTCATTTTGCGTATTCCCCCCTGGATAAATGGGCTTGAAAGATGGATTATGCTAATGTTTTGACCTTGGCACGCTAAAAGTGGACATCCCCTCTACACAGGGATTAAGAAACGGGACACAAACTTTGGCAGCAACACACCGCATGTTCAATTCCTACATTAAAATTGCTTGCTGGAGCTCATTCAGCAAACCAAAAATATTTGACAAGCCGTTGACTGTCTTCCGATAATCAGTATGCCCAAGTTCCTGAATTTGTTTACATTTTCGAGATGGTTCTTGTAGAAGGTCTTCCAGATTATTCTTCATTTTCATGTGACTTCTTTCTACCTATAAAGTATCTGTGCCATTTCAAATACTGCATATGATTCATTGTCTTTGGATTCATATTTTTAGTAAGTTTGAAGCCATGAATGTTTTTAAAATCGCTGAACCAAATTTATAATGTACGGTTTTTGTAGCTTTTATTTGTTTCAAGCGTAACATTTGCTCTCTGTATTTCGAAAATATTGTTCTTTTATAGTATTTCAGAAAATAATGCGTGCAATGTATTTTTTTTAATTTAAAATTTTTGTTGTATTATTCAATATTTCTCTTGGCGATTAATTCATAATTTTATTAATATTATGCTATTAATTAACCGATATGCATCAATTCTACTTTAGTATTTTTAACAGAGCTCAAGAGTTTAAATAGAATAAATCCATTACTCATATCGATAACTATCATCACTGACGGCCATGTTTTATAATAAGACAACCTTCAGAGTAGACGAAAGTCATCTGTAATCATAGGTGGTTAGGGTTCACTGAACATAAAAGTATATGCAAGTGCACATAATATTATATTTTAATTTTTAATTAATGCTTTTATTGAAATAAAATTTATTTTATTTTACTGAAAACTTTAAAAGTTTTTATTCTCTACTTATTTAAATCAAATAATTCCCCGCCCCCTCCCAAATTTAATTTCATGATGATTTAGCAATTCATCCAAGTATAATTCATAAGCATGAGTCCTTTGAGAATTCTCTTGATTGCTCATTGGAAATATATATATATATATATATATAAATTGTAGAAAGCTCGCCTAAAAGTTACCAAGAGCTGCCGCTCCAAAAGGTTAAAGACGTTTCAAAAATCAATACACATGAAAAGCAAATCATTATACAGGTAAACATAAATACAATAAAATTAAATAACAGAAAAAAGTTAAAAAGTAAGCGGAAAATGGTAAATTAGCCCAATTCGACATCCAAACAGCTTTTCAAGGGAAATTTCATTGTTTGAAAACGTCGAATCAAGCTAACCCCATTACGCGTTTCGCCGAAAACAGACAATTGAAACTTTTACGCGAAAAATTTTTTGACAAATTGTCTTGAAATTTTAATAGTCTCAATTCTCTGTTCCAATTTCCCGACGCGTCCGCTTAGAAAGACACATTAAGGTGTTAAAATATGTAAATCAAAATCAAACTTTCTAAATCTAGTCTAAAATTAAAATCAAAACGAAATAAATAGCGATGAGCTATTAGTCCCTAAAAATACAAATACATTCGGGCTGGGCCTGCAAGCTTAAAGATTAACATTTAATTTTTTAAATTGTAGATTTTTATAAAACTGTAAGAAAAACCTGTAGTTAATAATCAATATAAAATTAAAAAATTGAGAAAAGAACAACTCAGTGGGTCTTCTTGCTAAGACCAAGAAAAAGTTGTAACAAAAGAAACAAAAGAAACAAAAAACTGACCTTGGCGATGTAAAGCTGTCCCTCTGAAAACATGTAGTAAAATGGCTGCTAACTTTAAGCGTCTTATTTTTGGATGACGTAGGTAGGGGGGAGCGAAGAGTTGTGGGCGTTTAGCCAATGCGAAGTGATTTTCGTCATCTGTAACTCGTCTCCTATTATCGGAGGGCGCCGGAAACCTCGTGAATCGTGTTAAGAGCTCAAAAAATGGCGCTTGGCTTGCTCTTAACACGATTCACGAGGTTTCCGGCCCCCTCCGATAATAGGAGACGAGTTACAGATGACGAAAATCACTTCGCATTGGCTAAACGCCCACAACTCTTCGCTCCCCCCTACCTACGTCATCCAAAAATAAGACGCTTAAAGTTAGCAGCCATTTTACTACATGTTTTCAGAGGGACAGCTTTACATCGCCAAGGTCAGTTTTTTGTTTCTTTTGTTTCTTTTGTTACAACTTTTTCTTGGTCTTAGCAAGAAGACCCACTGAGTTGTTCTTTTCTCAATTTTTTTAATTTTATATTGATTATTAACTACAGGTTTTCTTACAGTTTTATAAAATCTACAATTTAAAAAATTAAATTGTTAATCTTTAAGCTTGCAGGCCCCAGCCCGAATGTATTTGTATTTTTAGGACTAATAGCTCATCGCTATTTATTTCGTTTTGATTTTAATTTAGACTAGATTTAGAAAGTTTGATTTTGATTTACATATTTTAACACCTTAATAATGTGTCTTTTCTAAAAGCGGACGCGTCGGGAAATTGGAACAGAGAATTGAGACTATTAAAATTTCCAAGACACTTTGTCAAAAAATTTTTTAGCGTAAAAGTTTCAATTGTCTGTTTCGGTTCGGCGAAACGCGTAAGGGTTAGCTTGATTCGACGTTTCAAAACAATGAAATTTCCCTTGAAAAGCCTGTTTGGGGATGTCGAATTGGGCTAATTTTTAAAAACCATTTTCCGCTTACTTTTTAAACTTTTTCTGTTATTTAATTTTATTGTATTTATGTTTTACATGTATAATGATTTGCTTTTCATGTGTATTGATTTTTGAAAACGTCTTTAACCTTTTGGAGCGGCAGCTCTTGGTAACTTTTAGGCGAGCTTTCTACAATTTTTATTTTTTACTTATTTTGCAGCATATTGCGCAAGATGTTTTCTTGACCAAAATTGTTTTTACTGCTTTGCTTGATAAATTATATATATATATATATATATATATCAATTCATTTATTTTTTTTTGTATTAATTTGCCATTTAGTTCAAGGAATAATTTCCCAGTTACGTGTATTATAATCCTTCCTCCTTCTTTATATATATATATATATATTAGGTCTCTAATTATTGTAAACTGCATTTAAAAATAATTTTTATTTACATTATATATAAATATAATTATTATTACTCTTCTCTCACCATTTCATTCAAATATCTCGCTTAGGAGCTTCTTTTCAACTGGTTTTTGGTTTAGTTGATTATGGTAAAACACATCAGTGCTATCTGCCTTAGTGGAGGGATGTTTTCGTGGAGGATTTTCTGAGGGAACTGGCTTGCATACACGTTACACATGGCGAAAACCGCGAAACGCCCATGCAGCCAGCAGTTCGCATGGAATCGAACCAGGTCGGAACTAGCAGTATTCAGCGATTTTACCAATCGATCGCTGGTGGACTCGTCTTTTCAAACATATGTTTTATAGCAGCTTGTTTTCTTGTAATGGCCATTATGAAGTCAATTTTTTCCTTAAATATCTCACGTTAGTTGATCCTCATGAAATATGATTTGGATAATCAAATCAAATCTGACAAAATCAAAACTTTTCAAGATTGGACTATTATATAACCTGTAAACTGGAAGCGTTACTTTAAATGTAATTTTAAGAAAGTAATTTTCAAATTTCCAGCATCTTTTATTTCAATATTTGTAATTTTTTAATAATAATGCAAGGTAGTATTTTCATTTGATAAAGCTAGAAACGTGTCTTGAATCGTGTTTCTGTTAAGGTCTATAACTGATCATTTTACCATTCCTATATTCTCATCATCGTCTGAGAAGCCATTCTCAAACAGCAATTATTCTGCTTTAAACCTACGTTGTATAAGGAATTCACAACAAAGTATCACCGAATTCGATTAAAAATTTTCAAATCGTCTTTTATTCATTTTTAAGCGTCACATAGAATGCCGTAGAATTTCTATCACGTTCGTTGACGAAGCAATATTGCTTCAGGAAAAGATCGCGAGGTTTCGCTGAAATATCATCACGTAGAGACACTGGCGTATTCAAAGATCAAGAGAAAAAGATGGGTGGGGGCGAGTGACGGACGCGTAGATGCGTGAAGTGATTTTGCAGGTATTTTGGGGGCCATAGGGTATCGGCCTGAGGGGTGTCGGCGAAATGGTTGCGGCATCCGGTGACGCATCGGGATGCAGACCCTTTTCATCAATGAAGCGCGGGAGGGCGTGGCTCCATTGACGGCGCATAAGGTGTGTGGGAGGAGAGGGGAAATTCTCGCCAGCTGTTTCCTCGCCTCGACCAATCAATGGGCGGTATCGATCCTCTCATTCAGCGGACGCCCCCATGAATGAACTCCCCCTCCCCACACTTTTTCTTCCCCCTCTCTTCGTCTTTTAACAAAAGATTCTCGATTTCACTCATGTGACGTCCAGGAAATGACTTGGCACATTTTTATCATCATTTACTAGTATTATATTATTATTTTTTTTATCTTTTCCCTAACCATTTGCGCTAACTCAAAAATGAATTCAGAAAATGGATTTTTTTTAAAAGCAGTTAGTATTTTTTTTTCCTTTTTTGGTTTTGGGAGACATTTCTGGATGCGCCATAATGACATCTTCTGTTAGTTTTTTTTCTTTTAAAGTTTTCTTTTATGTCATGTAAAGGAATGAAAATGAGGAAGAAAAGAAAGAAATATGGGAGTAGAAAGAAACAATTATCCTTCTCACATTACCCCTAAAACAAAGAATTAAATACGATCTAAATTACTCATTTTAAATAGATTGTTACTAGAAAACTGTTGGCTATGATGTGAAAGATAACGTTTTTTCCTCTTTCTGAAGACAAGATAAAATAATCTCGGGAAAAGGGCTGTAACATGTGGGTGGGTTTAAACACGTGGGAGTGCTTGTCACCGAGTTTTCTGCTTGATGATGCATTGTTCAAATTATTTCCATTTCAACATTCATCAACATTAATCTTATTTTATTAAAGAAAAATATATTATCCCAGCATATTTTCCCGACCTTTTTGATTTTGAGAACATTCGAATATTTTATACTTGGAATTTGCTCTGACTTCAGTTATTTAGTCAACACAATTTCAGTTATTTAACAAAGAACTGATAATTTTAAATACTTTTTACATTTTCTTCTTTTTCTTTGTGTTTTGTGCAAAGTAAAGCAATTTGTATTTTGTGGTTTCCACTACAAAAGTTCTAAAAGGATTCTAATATATGGCCATTTTGGACGATGGCATCCTTGTCATTTAGACTGTATTTTGGCCCCAGTTTCCATGCATAAGGATGGAGTTTCCATGCATAAGGATGGAGTTTCCATGCATAGAGATGAATGAAATCATTTAGTTCCACGGCCGGTAATAATTAATTCAATAGAGCAAAGCCACATTAAGTCTTCCTTTCCGGGTGGATGTGACCAGTCCACAAACTGGGTCTGTTTCCAGAACAGGAAGAAACAAATCTATCTAAGAACAGGTGGAGGATACGATTTTCCCAGAGACATCTTCAGAAACCTCCTTCCAAATGACCTTGAAAGGCTGCAGCTAGCTCAGCGTTTTACCCTTAACACCTCCCTCAAGAGAGTCCGCTATAATAAACTTGCTGGTTAAATGAGAATTTGGCTGTTTTCCCCAAACCCGATTGGCGATGTTATTTGATGAGATTTTAGAGTTCCTATTTTTCCGTTCCTTATATTCCCGTGCCCTTCTTTCCGTTTCCCCCTTTTTTTCGGGTGACATTGTTTCCGAGCACCATTCAAAGAGCGATCAAAAACCAGGAGAATGATAACATAACCATACTAAACGAGGTGAAAAACATCAATATATGAACAGATAAATAAAGAAATACAAAGAAATTACATATTCTTATTTTTTTTTTCATTAACAGATTATTATATTAAATTGTACGACACTACCAGAATAATGCACTGATGGGGTCTTCAGAAGGTCCTATCATATTTCTCGATGGTCATTATCGTACTTACCACACATTAAAAAATGTAGTTTAAACGATCTAAGTTGCCAGCTCATATCAACATAGCAGATAACGAAAATGCAGATAAATTGGCAAAAGAGGCTTGAAATCTCAACTGTTTTAATTACATAAATGTCACTTTCTTGGACGCTAATACCATGGCAAAATGCAAATTGAAGGAACATTTAATTGCAACAAAGCACCACCTCCATAATGCCAATCGAGATCGAATTATAGCTAAAACCATAGTCAAACTTAGCACTGGCCATTTGGACTGGAAGCTAACAGAGCAATGAAAACTGTCAGAGAAAATAGGAAAACCTACAGAAGCTGTGATAAATACTCGGATACAGAATTGACAACTGCATAATTTTTGATTGCCCGACCATGCTTGCTGAATTGTTAAAAATTGAGGTATTGTTTAAAAAGACCAAACCTCTACGATGATAACATTTTGCTGATTACCAAGGCTATCTTCATCCATGGCACTATATGAACAGGCTTCATCACAGACACGACAACAACAAAATAACAAATGATCCTATTTTGAGATTATAAAATGAAGCAATCCTATTTAATATTTGTCAATAGTCATCATTTTACTACTACAGTCAAATAAAAAACAGCACAGATAGCCATCTTTATTTTTCATTCATGCACACACATTCTTCTGACGTCTTCCAACATGGTCATAAGTTTGTCCCCATTATTGACAAACTACCACCACAATTCAGTAGAGTGGCGGGGCTGTTGTTCCTCTCATACTCCGTGCAATTATTCTTTTAAGAGAAGCTCATAGTCATTCTGTTATCCGAACACTGGCACTACAACAAGAATAACAAAATTCGTCTCATGACTAATCATTAGGTGGATGTATCATGCTACTCATATTCATGACCTAAGGCGAATACAAAGTGGAACACTTGAGCGAGAATACCGGATTTCATTCATTGACAAATATACAGTGGAGAAAGAAACGGAGTAGAATTAATCCAAAATTACTAAAAAAATTATAGTATTCTCAAAACAGTTTTACAATACGATTGATCTTGTTTTAATTTTTTTTATAGTTACTTTCTGTAATCAATATAGTAATTGGTGATACTGCTACAGTATCGTTTTCCTGGGTTCAAATTGGCTTCCCGAGTTCGAAGGTTTGGATGTTTGCTAACATATATTGTCTATGCCTCAT